GGGGGCCCAAATTTTTTACCCCCCCCCCCCCTCCCAACCAAAAACCACTTCGCACGACCCTGGGTAGGTTAAAAAACAATATGGAAATTCCAAGGGATGGTTACCTATTAAACAAAATATGTGGAAATTCCAGAGACTAGGTCAAAACCATTGGTGGAATTTCCAAGGGATGAGTAGAAATTCATTAAAAATCTGTGGGAAAATTCCATGGGGTAGACTGGAAATTCATCAGCATCTGCAGAACTCCAGGGGAGGGGTCCAAAAAATGGATGTCATCCATAGGGGGGGGGGGTGGATTAAAAATGCAATAAGCCATTATAACTTGAAAATGGAAGCAATATTGTTCCACTATTCAATTACAGCAGTTTATTTTTTATAATATATATGATAAAATATCGTACATCTGGCAGTTTAACTTTTTAAAACTGCTAATAAAATGCTGTCAATGCATTAATGTGACCACATTGGCATGTATTATCCTGCTTATGTAATATCATCTTCATCAAGTCAAGTAATTATTTAATCGTAGCTTGCCAACTTGAGTAAAATAGTATAAATTGATTTCATTGTTAAATGAACAACTCAGTCACAACCATGAACCATAACTCACTCAGTATCCGTACAGATATAAAGACTTGCATTAACAGAGTAAACAGACTGTTATTTAATATAAACTTTAACTATGTTTGAGAAAAATTCTGTCATAAAATCTTTTTTCAGATAAAGAGTAAGATACCTGTCATTTTAGAATATAAGTTCTACCAACCAAAAAGAAGAAAAACGTCAAAAAACAACAATAGAAAATAATATATACTGTATAGAATATAAACTCCACTCCTAAGCTTGGCGCCATATTGAATTTCGCGGTCGCGCCGGGAAAGGCCTGGGGACTAGGTGCTCTACCGTATCTGAAATAGCCTTCACCTCAGCAAACGTGAAAATCCGCCATGTTTTTGCGGACACTTTTTTGACTGACGAGAGATAGGAGCACCTCCTCCAGTAATATTATAGCTCAGTGGACAGCGCCCACTGTGTGGCAGCGGGTTCAACGCAATAATGGTGGAAATTTTAAAACTCCGAGAAGGAAATTTTGTCTTTTAAAAAAATACTTGAAAATTCTTTAATTTTTTACCATAAATCGTTGTTTAAAGATGAATTTTGGCAACGAAAAGTACTGGAAATGACATTAGGTGAGTTTTTAAGTTCATAGTTTGGTTAGAAAAGCGCTTAAATTAGTTAAATACCGCGTATCTAAAGGTGTTTTATTTGCGACTTCGAAATGACACGTGCGAAATTTCAATAGCAGCGAACTTTTTAAAGTTTTCTTTGTTTAAAATTGTTTAATTAAGTGTAAAAAGGAGTAAGCTTGATGTGTGATACTTACAAACAAAAAATGTTTTTCAAAAAGTGGAAAATTTATTCAAAAAAAAGAAAAATATATTCGACCACCTGAAGTGATAAATATGTCAATGATGGACAGATTGAGCCCATTAGTAAAGATTGCTCTTTATATTCAATCAACAATGCCTCAAACATGTTCATGTCTGGCACTCAGGTAGGCTTAGCCTTTGTGCCCACAAAAAAAAACTAGTCTTGGGCCAGTATTATCTTTTTGTATTCATGGCTCATTCCAGAAAACATCCTCAAGGCCCATTTCCACTCAAGAAAATTTTCCACAGACAAAAAAATTTGGAAAATTTGTGCTGGCCAATCCTATTTTACAAATTTTTCTTTCTGCAGAAAATTTTCGTGAGTGGAAATGGGCCTTTCGATGGATAGGAAAATTTTCAACTTTTAACAATGGACATCCTAATACACTTACTATTATCAGAAACTAATTTTTCTCCGCTCCCCCTCCAGACAGGAGAAATTTCCTTTGTGGGAGGAGTGTGGATCTTTTCATGAAATGACCCATATTTCAACTGGATGACTATAACAACATACTGGTGGGGGGTTCTGCATACATACTGGGGGTCTCCAATCTTGGTTGGTTGATTTTGAAAAACTTCTCATGCTATTTGATGCATAACATCTGAATCTATGCATCGGCAGTCTTTGAAATAAAAATGTCAATTTGACATTTTCCATTAATGATGGCCTGAAACTTTTGTGATTTCCTGTCACATTTGTAATGTTATATATAAAAATATATAATTATTGTATTTGTCATGTATTCTTGTTGTGACAAAGCTTGTAAAATTAAAAAAATTAAAATTAAATTATGTAAATTATGGCAACTGTTGTATATGACATTATTTGTGTGATCTTTCTTTAATAAATATTTATCTTGTCCAATAAACAATTATTTATTTACTGTTCAAGTGAAATTAAACTTGTCATATCTTTGGTTCTGACATTGTACAAAATAGTTGTACAAGTATCATGCATATTTCTATATTGTTGACACTTGGAAGTCCTTTCATTCTTAACTGCATTTTGCCAGCTTTCACAAACAGAGTTTTCACAAACATTTAATAAATTTTGCCGAGTTTTCACAAACATTTAATATGAATTTTTGAACTGGTCTTAGTTATAACTTTGTTTTAATTTCTCATTTTATTTTTAAAACAACAAAGGCTTTATTCAACCATGTGATTATGCAACCCTGAGAATTGTTTCTCATGACGTCATAGACACACTACGCACGCAACTTTACTTGCACGTGAATTACGCAGATATATTGTCTTTGTTGGATAATTCGTTTGATTTATTTTGAAGGTCAAGTAGCTATACGACGGTTTATGCAATCGTATCTGAGAAGAAGCGAGAATTTAACCAATTCTCCGATCTAGAATTTAACCAATTCTTTGATCTAGATATGCCTTGGACAAAAATTTCATCACAGCTTGAAAGAGCATCACAAAATTGGTAATATTCCAAAGTTTCGTTGCGAAATGTTGTAAAATGCGGATAATATAGCCTAGCGAAGTTTGCCGTTTTTCAGTCATTTTGTATTACAAACGGGAAATTGATAATCAGTTTGATCATTTGATTATCAATTTCCCGTTTGTAATACAAAATGACTGAAAATTGCAAACTTCGCAAGGCTATATTATCCGCATTTTACAACATTTCGCAACGAAATTTCGGAATATTACTAATTTTGTGATGCTCTTTCAAGCTGTGATGAAATTTTTGTCCACACTTGTCTAAATCAAAATTTCACTCAAAAGGGGAAAGGTCTATTAGTCTATATCGAAAATTTCACGACGTTTTGTGGACATGCAGGGCGCAAGTGGAAATTTTTCACTGCGGCAGAAATTTCAATACAAATTGTAAGGTAAAAACAAAATTTTCAAAACGCCATAACCCGCGCCCTTGAAAGTCCTAACGTCATGAAATTTTCGGTATAGATTAATTTGAGCATGAAGTTGTCAATTCTGGGGTCCTCTTTTGGTGTCAGAGATGAGAAATTGATGAGGTGGAGAATTGCAGGTTTTTGAGCAATGACGGTACTTTCAATTCTTTCTTGTTATGATTTCTTCCTATACTCTTACAGAGACCATTTCTAAATTCATGTGACATCTGAATGTACAATTTAAAAGACAATCTTTGTTTCAATGTCACCTTTAATCGCCAAATATTTGTATCGAGTGGGCTAACAAAATCGTCTTTAACCGTTTGTTCTCATTAAGGATTGACATGATTTAAAAAATGCCGATTCACATAGTGTTTCCATAGAAACTTAGTCAAGAACTCCCCTTTGTGCACGGTAGATCATTTTGCAATGAAATGTTCAAGTTTCATATACTATATAGTTTGGTAGAGCTTCCTAGATGAAACATTCTGATGTTTGTTTCATCAAAATCAGTCCAGGCAGTCTTAAGTTACAGCAGTTCGAAGTTCGCAATCTTTGGCCGAGTCTCAAAACACTTTGTTATAAAATATGTAAAATTTATAACAGGCACATAATTGTACACCATTTTTTGATAACAAATTGTTTTATTTGTTTATAATGACTGCGTATTAAATAAGCATTAGTACAAAATTATATATATTTTTAAACTATAAATGTTATATTAATTAATCTTCGGATAAACACTATAATTCGCTATGCTATGTAAAAGTTTATATATAAATTTACATAAATATTTGAATGTCAATAAAATCTCTTAGTCTTTACACAGATATCTTAAACACGAACCATATAGCAAGTCTATGCTAGTATAGAATGTTTTATATCTTAATAACTTGCTGGTCGTTTTGGATGGCTAGCTAGCAAGTTCTCCACATCAAATGGTCGGCTTGTAAACGACTTTTCAGATTCATCTTCACTGCAAACTATGACTTCATGTTTGACTTCGATTTGATCTCCCGGAATGTGAATCTCGGTTCGTCCTTCGACTTCGGACTCTGATGCTGGACTATCCCGAGGGCTACCCAGGGCTTTTGGGCTCTCTACCATAGAGTAATGAGGTGGACTAACCGAAGGGCTGTCTTGAATTATCTCAGGTCTACGTAGCGAGAGAGATGATGGGCTTTCAGCGTAATGCGACGAGCTCTCCATCCCTTCAAGTCTGGGCTGAATGACTGTTGGAGGGCTGTCGACCATCGCATAGTTATTGAACTGGAATACCTCGCTGGGATAGTAACAGAATTTCGGTGCTGCTTTCTTTTGAAATTTTCTTTGATGAGACGAACCTCTGAGGAATTCTTCGTAATGTTGTGGACTGATCGTCCAGAAGTGTCCTTTCCCATTTGGACTGCGGCCCAGTTTCACGAAACAATCGTTAAGACTTAGGTTATGTCTGATGCTGTTCTTCCAACCGCTTCCACGATTTTTGAAATAAGGATATTTGGTTTGGATGGTTTTGTAGATTTCGCTTAGGACTAGTTTTTTTTCAGGAGAGTTGAGGATGGCTTCACCGATCAAACGAACGTAGGATTGTTTTGGTTTTTCTTCATCGCGGCCTGGTGGGGTATAGCTGCTCGTTTTGTAACCGTCTAAGTAAGCTCGTTGGTCGTATAAGCTCAAGAAGGCGCGAGTCAAAGCTTCCCGTTGAGCGAAGTGAAGAAACGCTGGGTTAATGGCTAACGGTTGGAATCGATAGTGAATGTTGGCGGTTGATTCTGTGTAGGGCAAGGAATAAGCCAAAGTTGATGTTTGAAGATCTCTGTAGTAGGCTAGTTGCGAACTTGGCATACTTTCTGCTAGTTCGATAGAATTATCCACTTGTTGATTGCTTGTCACAGGCATTCTGATCTTCTGTTTTGATTCAATTACAAGTTGTAATAACCTCGTATCTTCTTTTGGAATCTGATTCAGTTATAGTAATCTGTATATTCTCTTTGGGAGCGCTTTTTCGAGTGTTACTCTTTTCTGACTTGCTCGAGAAATGTGTTCTTTATATATTCCAAGACCGGATTTTAAATTATCTGTGTAAATAAGTATATTGTTCGTGCTTTCGCTGTTAGTGCACTGTAATATCGTGTGTGATACGAGTGCTACTCAGGCATATCGTGCATGTTCAGGCAGGATCATAAAAGCGCGATCACTTTAAGTTTCCTTCCTGCCTGGAAATCAGTTAACTGTAATTAATGCTTAAAGACCGCCCTTGTTTCGCTTACTCGCTTTCTCTCTTTAAATTGAGAAAGTTTTAAAGTTTTAAAAGGTTCTGAGGAGAGCTTTGATTCAGGTATGAATATATTCTAGTTTATTTTTGCCTTTTCATGCCATCATTCCACAACATCCTCTCTGCTTTTCATCATCAAGATGGACCCATATATTCTTGTTAAAAGGAAATCGCATAATACTCAAACAAAGCACGCTCCTTATCTCTACTTGTGCTCTTTAATTGCATGTTTTTGCGATGCTGGATTAAAAATAGGCACGCTCAGGCGTACACGAGTATACCTTGAAACCCTAGAAATTATCGAACAATATAATGCTGAAACAATGCATCACCGTTTGCCATACTTGTACTTTAAATTGCATGTTTTTGCTCTTTTTAATTAAAAATAGGTACGCTTTGGCGTACATGTATCTGCATGATACCTTGACAAATTTGAAATTATTGGTCGTGTAGAAATACGAAACGGTCACTTTATTATAATGAAATACTATTGGAAATATGTTAGAAATTTAAACATTGTTATTGTTACACCATGGCCTCTCTATAACAAAACAGATAGGCACATCTTTACTTCTACGCTTTTGCTTGAAAATAATAGATATGTTATTTTATACATGAGTGTACACTAGCATACTAACTTGAAGACGAAAAAATTATCACACATACAAACAAAGAATTAGACCCTTATTTCTGCTTTTTAATTGCATGTGTTTGGAGTTTTGCTATAAAAATAGGTACGCTAGGATACATACGTCTGTGAATGAGTTTCACTAAATACTATCGTGCAGCTGATGGTAGTCAACTGCAGTTATCAGAGTGAGAAAATTATGTATAAATATTTTTTTATTATATGCAGTAGTAATATATTTCAAGGCAGGTAAGTAGAAATTTCCTTGCTCCTGAATTCGATCATCCTTTGTTGCTTCACAATATCATTTCTTTTATGCAGAAAACGATAATATATAATCGAGGCTAAATTCACATGAGCCAAGCTTATGTTACAATGTAGAACGGTAGAGAATTAAGTTGAACGACAAAAACTCAAGGGCTTTAGTCCGGTGGGCAATAAAATACCGTATATACATTCAATATCGATGTAAATGTTTTATAATTATAATATAGATGCTGCTGAAACGCATAAATAAATGCACAGCAAAGGAATAAACTTTTGAACGGAATATATAACGTTTTATAAATAAAATACAATGTTAGGTTTTGAATTTTTGTTTTATTTATTGCATTGACTGATTCGTGTGAGTTTCTGCTTAAATAATGTTGTAGGCCAGTTCAATCGAGAAGGAGAAAATGTTAGCCCAAGGCGATATATACTAAATATAGAAGAAACATTTTGATGAGTGCGATTTAAAGTACCGTGTGCTATACACATGCAGTATAAATAGCTCTTTAAGTCGTTAAAATAATAATGTGTACTAATCATACCGTAAAGCCTTGTTTACACTATCAAAGTTTCTGTGATCACAGTATAGGAATTTTGCATGGGTAAATTCTAAGTGTTGAAGGATTTGTAAGGAATGTTTGAGGGAACAACTGACTCACTATTTAATACTCAGTGCCCTCAAACATTTCTTACAAGTCTTTTCAAAAAACTTCTGAATTTATCGATGCAAAGTTCTTACTGTGATCACAGAAACTTTGATTGTATTAACCAGCCTTAAGACACCAATTACATACAAAAAGATATTGGTGATCGCACAAAAACATACACTCCAGAGGTTTCGATCGTGTTTGACCTTGCAATACATTTCGGGAGGATTTTGACCCCCCTATTGCTTGTACCCTCCCAAGATTGTCCAATATTTTACCCAAGGAAGACAAACTACCCACAAACGACGTGACTCATGAAGTAGAATTAAAGTTTTTTGTTTTATCTTAAATCTATGACGTTTTTAGTGACGCAACAGTTTTGCAATGACACGAAGTCTTACGATAGTGAGTTCGGTATACAGAGCAGCAGATGGAAAATTAAACTACATCTCTCAATTCTATTTGCCAGCAAACACAAGACTACATATAACGAGAAAAATTATCATTATGTTCTCACTGTGATAACTGCAGGTTGACCAGCATCTGCTCCACGATAGTGCGTTGTGAATTACGGCCCAACAATTGTCCCATGGTAGACACGTCCAAACATGTTGGACAATTTCTTTAGCGTCACTTTTAATGAACAACAGTGTGCCATTAATCTGGTGTTTATGAATGTACGAAACAATTACAGTCCTAATCCTATAGCTTATCTCAACCATTGTTTCCATTTTTATTTCACAAACTTATTCAAACAAAGCTATAATTACGTGTAAATTTATAACGTTTTTGCTTTTAATGCAGTTTGTATGCGAAACAAACTAGGATCGGTTGTGAGAAGGTAGTTGAAAAGGTGAATTTCATTAAGCAATATCATGCAGCAGATGTATTTGGAAGAAAATATAAACAATTGAGAGTTATAAAAAAGCTTGGGATTGACAGGGATACAACTACCTGAAAAATACAAGGAGAACTTCGATGTTTTGAGCGAAGGCGTTTTGTCGGGAAGTTAGTAACTATAAGCTCCCGTTTAGTTACTAACTTCCCTAAGGGCTTTTGCTCAAAACATTGAAATTCTCCTTGTATTTTTCAGGTAGTTAAATCCCTATCCATCCGAAGATTTCTTGTCATTGCCACCACCTATACACTAGCACAGAACAATTGCATGAGAGATATAGTTTAATCGTCCTATAATTGTCGACATTTCTAAAGTTGTCTGCCACCTGCTGCACGATAGAAACACACCGAAATATGCGTGACTGTATGTCTGTCTGTATTCTGTAGTTTATTTGTAAATGTATCCCCCACTGTTGAACTAACACAATGAAACTAACAGTTTACATGAGCCAGTATACAATGCAGTGTTATCAACATAAATCTCTAATATAGGTCAACACGGACTTTTGGAAATCTATTGTTGTTTTATAAAGTCACTATATCGCTTTTTTATCGTTATTCATTTTCTTTTAGGTTGAGAAATGTTGTATTCTAGTGTCTTCGAATATGATTGACTATCAAAGTCCTTCGACTTGTGATGTCTACACCTAAGAAGTAAGTTTCCAATTATTTTTTCTCTTTTAGAAGAAAATTCTGCTTCTTCTAAAATATATCTCTAACTCGAATTCAATGCATGAGGGGCTTTGTATGAATAGAGAAGAATATTCTGTGGCCTTTTTGGAATGGTGTATTATTCAATTATATAAGATCAAATGCTTTCGTGCAAGGCTGAAAGGCGCTGACAAAAAGGTGTTAAATATTTACTTTCTAAAAGATATGACACCACATTAGCACTATAATAATACGTTGCATGTTTGATCATGAAAGTGTCCATGGACGCTGACTATTTGCCTATGGTAGAATTATGTACAAGTTAATGTCGACTCCAAGTTAGAGAAATCACCAAAACGATATACAGTTTCACAATTATGTGTCATGAATACGAGTTATTTAAAATTATTTAAAAATATGTCAGTTTTGTAGTTGCATGTGCGCTGTGATCCACCAAGCTTTATCGAAGTGTGAACCTCTAGTATAAATGAACTAATACGTCGTCACCTTTGCTTTATTCGACTATTTTTCTATACAGTCTCTTTATTCAGTTAAAAAATCACAGTTGCCTCATTCTAAATCGTTGCCAAAATATTTCCATGCGCAGTTCTGGTAACATTTGATTAATGGGCAGTCTCTTTTAATGAACCTGTACAGCGAGAACAGTTTAGAACTGATGGAGCTAACCACTTTAAAATTATTTGGTTTAGCTTTCCTGTATGAACACAGGAACATTAGAAAATGGTCATTATATATGTATAACTATATGTATTAAATTGGGTTTATATGGGTGTAGGCTGCAACCCCCCCCCCCCCTCCCCCATCTCTCCCACCCCCTCGAGGGCTCAAGGGCCACGTCTTCCTGTGCGTATCCAACCAGACCTGGTAGGAGGGGGAGGGGGGGGGGTGCTCATCGAACTTTGATCATGATTCAGGGTGCGTCCGTTGACCAAGTCACTAGACCAAAGCACTAGTCAGTAGTCTTACTTGACTATTGCACAATCATGCAGTACTGTCTCATTTTGTCTCTATTTTATTTTTGTTTCTGTAATTACCTTTCCAAATAGATTTTGATAAGTCACCGCCTTGCACCTCCTTTATCAAGTGCTTCCCCCTGCACCCCGGTAAATCCACTCCTGATTGTACTAAGTCAGTAAAATATCGACACCAGAAACACTTGTCAAACTCACAATGCTCCTGCATATCATTAAGTACATGCATTCCAGCACTTCAATGTTAAATTGACTATCAAAAGAGTTTACTTTTTACTTTAAAGAGAAGCGCAATATACTCTATCGTGTGAGCGGAATAGAGCAGGATATGGGGGGAGGAATGTGCTATTCATATAAACAAGTCAAATATAATCTCTCTTCATCCTTTCTGACACACTTTGAATTAAAAAGGCAAATAAACATCAACAAAGTCGGCGCGAATAGTATTTTTTTGACTCACGAAATGTATCACTTTGTTTTGATTGAAGTTGAAATCTCTTTTGTTATTTATGGGTAAAGTTTATGGGGTAAAATGTCCA